CCCCTCTCCTTCTGAAGTTATTTGAGACCGTTTTGAGATCCCCATTTAGAGATTCATATTTAATGTAAAAGTCGATAGATAATTTATAATTAGCATAAGCGTATCTTGCGTATATAGATCCACTTTCGATGGATTGCACGCGAGGCATCCCCAAAGTTGAAATCGATTCTTGTTTAGAAAATAGACGACGTGACTGAAATAACGATATACCTTTTCGGATAACGGAGCGTCGCTTGTTTGTTAAAGTGATATTGAAGAGACGAGCGAATCCCAACGAGAGTATCACACATGCACATTTGTGCACTTCTAAACGTATGTAGACACATACAAACATTAACGCATCTATCTAAATAAATAAATTTTCGTGTAATATATTTTCATGTAATAATATTTTTTATAACACATTAGGTATTTAAGAACTAATTTCTAAGAACTCAACATTATTTCTCTATGTAATTTATTAGTTTTGTACGAAGGTTTTGTTACAGACTACGAAATTTTTATATAAAACAAATATTGACAGTTCTGGACGCTTAAATATTAAAGTAGTAAATGGTAAAAGAGATCTAGATTAAAAAAATTTGTCTCATTCTTGATACAAATTCCGCACGATAGGTATTAATGCATAAACTTTAATTGTGGAAAAAAGGACTTTCAAATCTAAAAATATTACATAAAACACGTATTCCAATACGAAAAATACCGCACTCTGCCGAGATAGTACAGACGAGTTTAATCTATTTCTATCAATATAGATTAACTTTAATCTCGGTTTAAATTTATCTTTATTTACCTTTTTCTAATTTTTCGCATTAGAAAAGGAAGAAAGGCAAGATGAGCCGAGATTAAAGTTAATTTACATCGATAGAAATGGGCGTTAACGATACAATTATTTATCGATGAGAACTTAAAAATTCTCGCTTGAGCAGGAATCGAATTGATACCATCGATTTTCCGACATTTCTTTCGATCGATCGCGAATGATTTGAAATTCAATTCAATTCGACCGGAGAGCCTCGGGAGGCCTTTGGGTCGCCGATTTAAATGAAATGAATCGAATTAAATGTTGGTGCGCGCGGATTTGATCAAGGAGTCGACGAGTACTCTCGGCTACTACTTCATCTAAGTATCTACGTATCTAAAGTATCGCTCACATGAGGATTAACGTCGTTGCACTGCGGCGGTGGTTGCGGTATTCTTAGCTCACTGTAACCTGATTTAACCCGATTTCGGATAAACTTAAACTGTGTAGAGCACGCGCCGGGTCGGGGAAGAGCCGAAGGTATTTTTAGAGAAATGCCCTCGAAGTTGCCGGTTTTGTTCGCAAATGCTATTTATATCTTATCGCTTACTCCCGCCCGAGTTTGCATTACTCGGGGCCGAACTCTCTCTCTCTCTCTCTCCCTCCCCTTATCAACTCTTGGAATAGAGTCCTTGGGAATATCGCAAAGCATTTCAACATCGATTTAATTTTCAATGTCCATTATTTTAATGGGATTCTGGTTATAATAAGAGGCTTGTCACGGGAGAATGCGAAAAGTTCTTAATAACCGGCTGTTTGAACATTCAAAGCGTATTACAAGCTTATATTTCCCTCGACGTTGTTACGTCGTAAGTACGTCATTTACCCTCGTACATCCATATATCCTGTACATGTATCGAAGAGAGGAGTCATATTTCAAAAGTTATCCTTCATAATGAAATCAATAAATCACCTCGGTAATCATGACGCGGCGCTTTCTATTAGATCCTAACGCTTCGTTTATGTGCTAATGTTGCAGCCCTTCCTGGTGCCTCTAAGAGTGCTGATGTTGCTCGGGGGTGGATTGCTGGCGATATTCGGCAGCGAGGCAATCGAGCTCGGTGGCGCCGGGCCGCTCGCGGTCGTGGCCGCAGCCTTCGTCAGCTGCTACTTTTGGCAGCAAGAGGGCTGGGAGGTGGACGACGTAAGTACAGATTTATAATTTACACCTCATAAAAAACTTGCGTGCGTACGAGCGTGCCAATCCGACGGATAGGTCGCCGATAAGAGGAAGTTCATACTCGAATTTCGCATGAAATTCCACGCGTATGTAACATTAAATAGCAACTCTCGCGCGTAGCACATTGTCAAATTGCCAGTTATAATATCTCAAGTATTTCGGATTATTTTCGGATATGTAATATCGATATATCGCGGGGGATTTCAAAATTTTGATTTATAATGAAAATGTATAAAAAAAGAAAAAAAAAAAGGAAGAAGAAACCTTTCCTGACCGGAGGGAAAATTCGACGAGGTGATATTCGAGGAGTGTATTCGGAGTAGCAGTTTCGCGATTCCAATCGAGACGCGAGGGATGTTAAACATTTAATTTGTCGGCGGGAAAGAAAAGGGGGGAGGGGGG